ACACACACACACACACACACACGCACGCCCTCTGTGTGTCGCCTAGAGTCCACACTCGCCAACGCCCCCGCCCCGCCCTCTGGCCACCACCATAGCAGCCACGCGCGACCTTTAGGGCCGTGGCCACAAGCACTAAACGACCTCTACCGTAAGTATCCGTGGGGAGGTACAGTCGGACGGCTGCGGGCTGAGTCCTCCCGTGCAGACAGGTACGTGCTCGCGGTGCTCGCAAAGCCTCCGCGTAAGTGTCAAAGCAAATTTCCTGCAGGCGGCCCCACTTAAGGACTCGCCCTGTTCGTCTGAAGTCAGTGCACTTAGGGATCCGCGTCCACGCCGCTGCATGTGCACAAGGCACCCTTCCCCAGCCTTGGGTCTCCCCCAGCCCCGTCCTGTGCGCCGCGGCGTGTTTATCCCAGCGAAGCCACGCCGAGCTGCCGTCTCCCACCCAGCCCGCTCGTCCTAAGCCCACCCAGAGATCGCAGCCACAGACACGGTGGCAGGCAGTGCCCGAGGTTGGGTCCAGAGCTCGGTCCTGTTGCGAGGGGCCCAGGAGCGTGAAGCGCTGCTCCTAGCCCTCCGCGAGCGCCCCGGGGCGGCCACAGCACCTCTCGTCCGCTCCTGTGCGCCCCCCTCACCGACGCACCCCAGACTGTGGCTGGGGAGCTCTCCTAGCGGATCAGCCCCGCCCTCCGGCCAGCCTGGGCCGCCGCCCGGGCGCGGGCCCACCGGACCTCGCAGAGGAGTGGGGGATGGGCGGGAGAGCCGAGGAGCCCAAGACAGGGGGAAGTTGCCGGGCGCGGAAGCCATAGCGAGCCTAGCGTGCCGCAGACCCCGCAGGACGTGACCGAGGGCGGGACCTTTGGCGGCGGGGCCGGCGGCCGGCGGCAGGGCGGCTGGCTCTCCCGCCTCCGGGCTAGGCGCACTCCCATCCCCGCCGCATGTTCTCCGCGCGGGCTCCAGCGCGCTCACCGCCGCCACCGCCGTCGTCTCGGCTTTATTTACCCAGACGGGCGCGCGCGGCCCGGGAACAGGAATACTGAGGCCTTCTCATGTTTCCTGACTGTCCGGCCCAGCCGGCGAACATCCTGCCGACGCCATATCCACGTTCCGGGGCGGTCCGAGAGGAAGCGTCCGCGCCCGCCGGCCCGCGGGGGCTGCTGTTAACTCCTCGCTAAGGAGCTGCTGCCGGGAGCCGCCGGGGAGCCCCTGGCCCGCCGAGTCCTCCCGAGCCGGCGCAGCTCCCAGATTCGTTGGTCTCGCAGCCCCAGAGCAAAAGGGGCTATTTCCTTCGCACTTAGGGGAGAAATCGGAGAAGCTGCTGGGAGCACTCGGCTCTTGCTCCGGGAGCTGAGAAGCTGCGGTGCAAATCCCGTGTCTTAGCTGCACTGGGGCCGGAAATTTCACCACGCGTGGCTAGGCGGGAGAGGCCACTGTGACGTGCCCTGGATTTTCCTCGCGATTAGCTAGACTAAGTTAGTTAGAACTGGGGTTTGCGCCTACAACGCTTAAGCGTGTTGCAGGGGATGCTCGCGCCCGGGGAGCCCCTTTTCCAACGTCACTGGGCTTCCGAGGTCCGGGATGTCTCAGTCGAGGCCGGACACACCTTCACCTCCCGGGGCAAGAGCTGAAACAGCTGCGCTCGCTCTGGGGCTTTCTTAGAGGTAGGAATGGGGGAGGCGAGCTCAGGTACCCAGCCCGCGGAGACCTAGGTGCACCGCGGGACCTAGGAAGAGCCGGCGCGCCCAGAGTCAGGGAACCGCAACGCGACGAAAGCGATGAAGCTTGTATTAATACCGAAGTAAGACCCAGTGCAAGGAGACCGAATGGCCATTAGCCATCACATTCTCTTAGCGATGATATTTTGCTTTCCCTTACTACTCTAAATGGGATTAGTGAAAGCTGCGGTTTAGGTGCTGATGGATGTTCCGAACGTCGGGGAGCTTGGAAGACCCCCTAAGGACGAAGATCCAACAGCAGCCAGGCGCCGGTCTCCCCTTGCCGGCCCCGCTGCCCCGCTACCTTTAAAAAAGAAATGTCGAAGTAGAGTTCCCCACATCGGAAAGTCATAGCATCATTCGTCCTTTTCGCCTGTGTAGGTGGCTGGCTAGGGACGGGGCAGTGGCCCGTCTGAGCATTTTCCTCCTATATGGCCCAGGAGTGGTTACAACACAGCATCCTGTATAAAAAGCTCCTGTTTCCAATCACACCCTCGAATTTTCAAATACGTTATCTCTCCAAATACAGCAAACCTGGCAGTGGCACAGTCTAAGGCAGAAGGGATACGTGGGTATACATTTTTTGCCCATCGGGCAGATATATATTATCATTTGATCATGTTTTCTCCGAAGTCCTCAGTTCTCTTTTATTATGTAACTTGCGGTTGCAAAGCTCGCATTCTGTCTTTGGCTCGGTGTTTGTAGTGTCATTTCAGAATCGACTTTGCTGAAGGAACTTAAACACAGGGTTACATCACACGTTTTCACAAACTGTTTCACAGAAGCAGATCTGATCATTCCTAGAGGGAAAGGAGTCGCGTTTTCTTTTTGGTTGAGGAGTGATGGTCATAAGACGTTAAAATTAGCAGGAACATTTCCCTCTGACTTATTTTTTTGGGTCAGCTGTCTCAGGTAAAAGAACAGGCATATATGCAGTTGTTTGTAATTTCACAATATTCCATTGATTTATTGAGCTGTATGTTATAGTAAGTGCTAATATAGGACAAGTGAATTTTGTTGTTTTAGGACTTACTTGTATTTATATAACCTTAAAATGCAGAAGACTTTGATTTAAGATATACTTATAGGTGAGATTTGCTTTCTTAAAGTCAGAATTCACAGCAAAAATCTTCCTGCAGAAATATTTTTATTTGGTATAGGAATAATATATACCTTAGTAAGTCTCAGATAAATTTACTGAAAAGTTGACATATGACATTTTTTTAGACTATGACTTAGTAATTAGAACCTATCTGAAAATGAAAGAGTAATGAGGATCTATTTTTAAAATGAAATGGTGTGGAGAATCCCTCTCTAATATACACATGAGCATTTATTTTGTGATAGACCAAAATTTTATCTTTGTAAGTTTTATCCTGTATGCAAGAGGTAAGTATTTTTCATTTTACTTCACAGTTCAAATCCATTTATTATTAAGTTAAATTTCACCTTTCTCTAAGATGAGGCTTAGCTTCTTATCCTATGTTCCAATATCGGTTTATGAAATGCTGCATTATAATCCTCAAAACTATAACTTCCAGTTTTAGAAAATGTAAGAACGTGTGTGTGGTTTGTGGGAGATGGTCATATATGGGGGGGGCCTTTGATCAGAAGTCAGAAGACTTGAACCCCTAATCTTAATTCTGATTCATATGATGTTGGTTTAGTCTGAATTTATTAAACTGTAAAATGAAGATAATGCTTCCACAAACTTGCCTTACACTATTATTGGAGTATTTTTTTAAATGTGAAAGTAATCTGTTCATATTGCTAAAGCTAGGGACATTAAGCAGAAGTATCAGTCCATTGTATTGGACTTAGAGCATAGTTATAAATATATGTAATTTTTAGTTTCTAGCAAAGAAAAAAAAGGCTTCAGTTTTTGTAGTTTTTGACATTTTTACCAAGGTACCCTGACATTACAGAATCAACATTGGTCAGGGTGTTTGAAAATAATGAGTACTTTCAAATTCCTTTTTCCAGTTGTTCTTACTGGCAGAGAATGATCTTTACGTCCTAATCAGATGATCTAAAACAGTGAGTTTATGAGGAAATGGCAAGTCCGTATCACACTTGGCCAGTGTGACTTGTAGAGACGGACGGATTGGGAGTGCTTGAGTGGAACAGCATAGCAGAGACTGACACCCTGTGAGCAGGTGTCTCCAAAGTATCGAACAAGGCATTTCTTTTCTTTGCTTATAATTTAATTTGAACTGCATAAATAATACAGAGTAAGTAGCA